TTTTCATTATGAGTCAATCTTGACATTTAAAAATATCCAATTTTTTCAAGCAGCAGTCAGATATATTTTTGGTGCGAACCCGTATAGTACCACGAATTCCTAAATCAAATGGTTTCTTTAATTTCGAAAGTATCCAAATTTTCGTCATTCGTATCATATTTAAGTTGAGATGCATGACAATGCTTCTTATTAACCAATTTACTTGGTTCGTATATGTTGGGTTGATTTATTACCAAAAAATACCTTGCAAAGCAGTATTCTTGTGGTATTCCTGGATACCCACATTCTTCTCTTTCATTCATTTCTATGAGGCATTTAGTTCTCACATCTCGAGTTCTTGCGGCTTCGAAGAATGTGATTATAAGCAAAATGAGGGTAGTAATTACGGTATTTAGGATCATTTTGTGCTAATGATGTATATGATTAAGATAATTAGAGAAATTTTGCAGCAGTCGAACTTGATGTACGTTAATATTACAGATGAGATGCGTAAATTACCCAGTGCGATTGGTTGATCAAGCATTAATTAGGATTCGCTAAACAGTTTCTATATAATCTTGGTTGGAAATATATGCCACGTCTGAAAAGTTGTTCCTAGAAACAATTACTCATTCAAATTTGGTTTCATACTCTCTTGTTTTTAGGTTTACTAAAGGCTTCTAACATTAGATTAACTTCGCGTTCTCAAATTTGCATAACTGAGTGTTTCACTATAACTCTGTGTAGCCGGGCCGCGAGGGCAGAGACTAGGTTGACATAATGAAAATAGTTGAAAATTAGGTCTTTACGTTTTATTACCCTTCAACTAAGCACGAATAAACGATGAAAAAACCTTTAATCCTTTTTTTTTAAATAAAATCGCTGACTTATAGATGATTATAATTTATAATGATTAAATTGAACAATTCAGACTCAAAATATACCCGGGGCATGCTAGTGCGCGGCATACCGCGGCAGCACAAGTTGCAGAGGCCTACTGCCTATTATTTAAATACGTCTTGCTCAATCAATTAAAGACCAATGTTATAGCTTAGTTTAGTTATTCATGAGATGTTTCATGATAGGAACAAAGCTCTAGAGCTGGCATGGGCAAACAACGGCCCGCGGGTCAAATCCGACCCGCTGGGTAATTTAATCTGGCCCGACTGATGCTGACACAAACAACCAAACTAAAAACAAATTTTGATGTTTCAGCTAAAAACTAGTTCGAGTAATTTGTTAAGATTGCGACTAAATTTAGTTTTGGAACGAGGCTTATTGTTTTCCACTTTTGTTTTGTAACTTGTTCATAAAATGTAACTTTTTACGTCACATTTACATGGCCCGCCAGTCTAGGTGGGCAAAATTTTTTTGGCCCATGGTCCAAAAACCTTGTCCAACCCTTCTCTAGAGTCTAGACAAATATTTGCTGTAACTTAAGGCCCTAAGATACTATTCCCTTGAAAATACTAGAACAATTCCCGGTCAGCAGTTTCTACCCAATTCCATAACACTCTAGGCCAGGGGTCGGCAACCTTTTGTCGCTCGCGGGACAAAATTAAGGGTTGCAAGTCATTGGCGGGCGGCACATATTTTTCAGAAATTTGAAAACCAAACGGATGATACTTTTTATAAGTAAAAATCAAGCAATGATCCATCTTTCGAATAGAATATAGATTCATTTCCTCATTGTACTGCATCTCAAAAAATTCTATTTGAGTATTTTCGGCGCCATTGAACCTTTTGCACTTCTTAACTTTTCTGCGTTTTGTTGCCATTTCTCTAATATAATTAAATCATAGGCTTATTAAACCAGCAACTGTGAATTATATACTTGTTAGGTTATAATATAATTTAGTCTACACGTGTCTCACAATAAATTCTGTTACGTAAAGAATATAGTCAAAACAGCTGTTTGTTACCATAATTCAGGGAGGCGTCGCGGGCCGGATTGCAATACTCCGCGGGCCGCATCCAGCCCGCTGGCTGTAGGTTGCCGACCCCTGCTCAAGGCTAATTGATAGTCATAGAGTTTGAATGTTATTAGCTAAAGATAACTGTGTGCACATGGCACATTGCGCAAAAGGACGAAGCAACTTTAATCCAGTTCTACCCTAGAAACCTCTTTTTTTCTGGTTTATGTTCAGGTTCGCGACAAAAAAACTATTGAACTATCACTAGTCAACACTCTTCCTTAAATGCACAAGTACAGTTTTTTTTTATCTTTCACAGAACAAATCGAAAAAGGATGCTGTACTAATTACACTGCGTAAAATGAGTATTCCGCGAAATAGTAATCTAATATACGTCATCATGAAGTACTACTAGTATTTTAAAGTAGAGCTTTTGCGTATTTTCACATAAAATAAAATTCAACTTTTGCTAATTGTTTATAGCATTTTGGTTGAAAATAAAAAATGCTTTTTGATGTCCGCATTCGTGATTGCTTTAAAATATTTTCAAATTTCAAATTGGATTTACCGATTTTGGGGAACGAAGGGGTTGTACTGCAGTGGCATTTCCTGTTGGATCCTAACTTATAAATAATTGCGTACAATTTTAAAATGGCATACTTATCTACTCCTCTCTAGATAATATAGGCAAGGTACTATGCTAATCAAAATGACACGTAGATTTTTTGACTAATATAAATCAAATTATTGAAACAAATACATAACAATATTAGTCTTTAATATAATTTTTTTGTGACTTTTAATTATTCGTGATTATATATTGGGTTCGGTAACGATAAATGAATGTCCCTTGTCTAATTTTTTTTTTTCTGCAAGGAAATGGGTATACCAGAACGTTTAATTAATGAACGCAAGTTGAAATCAAGCATTAAAAGTGGAACATTATGTTCTCACGGTAAATTTGGTACTTTCCAACTAAAACTACATTCGAATACTAGTTGTATTTCATTTAAGTTACTTTAATTATGTATTTTGAAAGTAACAATCTTGTATTTAATTACCAAATATTTCAGTCGGGAACCCAAATCAGTCTAAAAAGAACCTATTATTCAATTTGAAAGAGGATTACACAAATTTTAAAACCAAATTGTCAAGTCCAAGAATTGACCTGACGTATAATTTTGTAAGCTGCGCTATACTAAAAGTGAAAATTTATTTTTCATATTGTTAATATTCTTAAAACTCAAGATACTTTACTAGTCGGCTATTTCTCATGTTAGGATTGGCTTCTTGTTGAATTTTTTCATATTTCGGTGAGATGGCTGCCGATTACATTTGTCGTTGTCTTTCCGGCTGTTGTTACATTTAAGAATTAAGCCGAAACTGATTCAAGGTAAAGATTCTGTACAGAGAATATGCTTGAACTCTCAATTTGTAAATGATATTTGAAGACCGAAATGAATGATAAAATACATTGCAGACCAAAGGAATGAACTTGAATTATTTGCATGTTTCTGGACAATTTAGCATCTATATGGCAAACATTGCCCAACTTTTCTAGATTTGCATTTATTCTATTTTCTATAAACTGGGGAGTTTGCAAGACACCTATACGTTTTTTTTCTATTCTATTTGTGAACTCAGTTTTAGTCATAATTTCGAAACATTTTTTTTTAATTCTAAAGGTATACAAAACCTAATGCAGTATCAAAATCATTCATAAAACGTACTATCGTATTGAATAGAGTCGAAATATATATGTCTTTCAATCATTCAGGTAAATTGTATAAATTCCGTAATAAAAAAAGGACAAAAAGCATTCCTGTTCAGAGAAACAACTGCATCGTCATGTCGGATGTAGAAACAAGAAATGAGTGCATCTCGGTCGCAAGTTTTTCAAAATTATTTTTCTTGATTTGTGAATTATTAACTCATAAACAGTTTCTCGCAAGTCATACCAATTAATTAAGGCTAATCATTTTCAAACACCTGATGACTTCAGAATCGAATCGAATATTTTTTCGAATCGAATCTTGAACACTTAGCAGATATGTAATCGCATGTAACTTTTTTATTTTAATGAGTCCTCCAGTCACATAGCCTACATTAATGAATCGTGGAATTCATCACTCAGACAGTTAACTGAGGTGTCACACACAATGCGAAACATGTTTCGTCAATAACTCACTATGAAGAGAAGAGTCAATATCAGAATTGAATCAATATAGCTTCAATAAAAAAAGAATTCACCTCGACCTTCGGCGAAAAAAACAAGATGGCGACGATTAAAAAATTTCGTCAATTTATCATTCGATTCAAAATGCCCAGCCCTAATGCCGATACTGCTGCATTGTCAGCTGCACCACTGTTGATAGATTTGATATTCATTAATGACCTCATCTATAAAGTTTATCAGAATATTGCTATCCGTGTCAACAGTAAATCTTGGTACTTATTCTATGATGTGAAAATATAATAAACCAAGAAAAATTTTAACCTTGCTAAACTTTGATAATTGACCTCAAATTCCCTCCGGGATTACCATTAACTGCTAATGGCTAGTAACAACCAGAACTTTATAATCATATCGGGGTATTCCTAAATATATATATGCCGATTTTCTTGTATACTAATCACATCACGCCTGATTGAGAACGCCTGTTAAAAAGCATTGTTTGGGCAACATACGATTAATTTTCATATTTCGTAGAACATTTACTTGCTCTGTTCAAGTTTTTTGACACGGAGTGGACCTGTGAATCGTTTGGTTATTATGTTGCTATTTTAGCTTTTCTCTTTACCTACTAAACTAGATCAATTACTTTTCAGTGGTTAAATATTGTATTTGTCGTTATAGGGGCATTACTTCTATTTATCTCAAACATATTTGTAGGCTCTGTTGAAGGCGCGCCTTGTGGTTTTGCGTTCGCAATCGTTGCGTTCTAGCATTCAGCCCAAGTCGGGAAGTATACGGTACCGGTGCTGTGAAAGATTTCATACTCATACTACTTCGATTGGGCTTTCGTGTCCGTATACTTGATCATTTGTCTCTTGTAATTTTCAAAGTGTCGCACACGCCCACTATCCGACCGGCTGAGCATCATTACACAAGTGTTTCGAACCGTGCTTAGTGAAGCACGAAATAGTTCATGAAATCAATGGTTTCGTTCTACGTCACATCGGAGGATATATCCTTTCATTAGTTTACGCGTGTGGCGCGCAGTGTGTTATTGTGGTGTTTTTTTAGCTAGTACACAGGTCAGTTAATAGCGCTTGGAGCACACCAGTTAGATTCAACAAAATTGATGGTTTTCTATGATTTGATGGAATAAAGTTCTTAGATTTTGATAGAAAGATGTCGAGGCATTGCCGGTGATTGGTAAGATTTCCTCGCCGAATGGCAAATAAACCTTGTTTACGTTGGACACCAACGTCATGGATATTATTGTTCGTCAGTGGTTTTGTGATGGGTAAGTTGATTTCTGTAGCTGTAAGATATGTGGATGTGTTCAATTTCAGCTCTTTGATTTGACACTTTTTCATAAATTAATTGTGCATTCTAGACCATCTAGATTCTAGACCAAATTATAGTTTATACAGATATTTAAAACACGATTGCTACGAAACGCGATTAGTTAATTTCTCTCTAATAAATATTCAAATATGCCAACTGGACATACTATAACGTCCGAGTTAATGGAATATTATGCGGCTATGTAGCTCAATGAAATCGCGCAATGCTGTGTCGACGCGTTATTGCGTTATATGAAATGACACATTTCCGAATGTCGCGTGTTTATGATATCACACGCCTCAAGACTGTAATATAAATGTTAAGTGAATTATGGTCCTACATTGCTTCAAAAATGCATTTCGTGTATTTTCGAAGTGCATACGGGTTATTGCGAGACTAACTATAAACTAATGTTTTCGATACGCCGATAATGGTCCTTTCTGTCCACATATCATTCAATACGCTCAGTTAATTTGGACAGATATCCCGAAGGCTAGATTGTGAAAAATGTATTGATTATTGCTTTCTATAGCTTGAACTCATGGCCACGTTACAGAGCATTTTCAAACAATAAGCACCAATTACTTGACATTGTCGTCAAATGGATGCATGCGGATTATCGACTAATGAATGATGAGTGATACTTGGAAACTTTTGTGTTCGCTAATCTCGTATAATACGGTGCTTCACAGCTCTTTGGTGGCATGTTCCTATCGGACGTAGTCCAATTTTTGAGTTTTATCATCGCTTCTGTTCTTGTAATACCGCTTAGAAACACTATATAAAATCATATATTGATTGATTAAGTATCTTATTTACTGTGGTAATGTTATTTGAGTTTGTTATTTGTGACTTTTTTAAAAAATCACGAAACGAATTTTTAAAAACTCAGGCGTATCATAGCAACACTATCCACTTCGGAAATTTAATTAGAAAAGATTTATTAGAACCACTATCGGACCAATATGCCAAGATAGCATGATGAAAGTGGCTTTTAGAATATGATTATCTGAAACACGGTACTGTATTAATAACTGTATATTATTGATACACTAATCGAAGAAATCCAAGTCATTAATTCTGAACCAGACAAATTTCGACATCTGGCGAATTCACCATTCAGACATACGAGTTTGGAAGCCGAGGAATTTTCCTCCCAATATGCGCTGTCCATTTGCTACGAGGAATTCGCTTGTGATAATCTGATTATTATCGTGAATGAAATGACCAATGTCCAAACCGTTACATGAATATTTTATGAGTTGGTCGATCAGTCGTCGTGTATTACAGATGATAGACAAAGATTACCTTGCCACAGAAATTTGGAATATCTGGATTAATTTTTTTTTTTCAATTTCAAAAGGGACGCAAAACACTCCGAACATTAAATTGTTTTTGTGTGTTAGTTTACTACGAATTTTATCAATATCGTATTGACAAACCTATTTATTTTATGTTTATTGATGTTCCTAGGTCAACAAACGGATCTAAAATGTAACTATAACCCGGATGCGGAATATGTGGGAAATGGAATGTTTGATGTCTATACTTTTGAAGTCGAAGAAGGAATTTTACTGGAGCCTGGAAAAATAATCGGAACTGTACGTTATTCATTATAGTAGGTTATGGCCAGATTACAAAAAGCTCAATATCGGTAGTCAGATATCGATCGTGTATCCTAACTTTCTTCCGATTGGAGAAATATTTCAACTGAGGGCATAACAGATGTGTTGCTATAGTGATAATCATCTTTTTACCACTATCTTCTTCTTACTCTTCAGTCATTGCAATCCTTATATCATGTTTGGCCTCTTAGAAACTTAGATAAATCTCTCTGTTCATAACCGCAGCTCATAAGCTGGCCGCAAAATTGTTGTCACAAGTGGTGCATTTGGTATGGCTTGTTTGGTACGTGACTGGTGCGTGATTATGACACTCATTGCATGGAAAACAGGACATGAAAATTGATACAGGATATGCCAAAAGCCAGTCACATCTATGTCACTGTTTCAGGATGTTTGTATCGTGTGATTTGTCATGATATGAGTCGTTTGTTTTCTAATTTGCTTTCCAGCATTATAAAAACTAAGTGCTCAATTCTTTTTTTGCTAAACCTTGAAATGTTAATAAAAGTCACGGCTAGTAAGCAGTGGCATAATTATGTTATTTAATTCGGAAAACATTGTTCAATACAAACTTTCATCTTTATTATTTCAAATTATTGTAGATAACCTTGCCAGTCGACAATTTTACGAACTCATTTGGATATGATGAGCCATACTTCAGCAAACCATACAACAAGAAATCATCGCCACTACCAAAGTATTTCGATATAAAATTTACAAATATTACGACTCTGCAAAATTCAACATCAACGACCACGAAGCCCAGAATCAAACGAGATGTAGCAACTGTGCGGCCCATCTCAGAACACATGTCTACCTTGGGGTCATTGGATTATTACCAGAATTTAACCTTTTACACCAATACGACTTTGCGTTATAATTCTGGTGCAATGAAACATATTGGCGTGACGTTGAAACCAACTACTGCTTCAAGTTTAACTACTGAATCTGTTACAAATATTGAGCTCGGTTCTCCTGTTTCGACTTCAACATCCAATGGCGGCACGTCGTTGCCAAACTTGACATCAGCACCTTTGAACTCGACGTCACATATTTCAGCGTCAACGTCACAAACCACGACGACACCAGCAACAACCTCTGATACAACGACGTCTGGATTTGTAACCAATGTTACGTCGCCACCAGTAACATCGAATATTACGTCAGCTATTACGACAGCCAGTACTCCCGCATCTCCAACTGAATGTGTTGTTGCTCAGATTTTACAGATATTTGATCTCGATCGAGAGAAGCAAGATACACATTATCTGACTATCAATGAAAACATTGGTGAAATGGTAAGTGAAGCTTCATCTTTGTCCTAACTATAGTGGACATATGTCGAGAGAAAGTCTAGTCAAAATACATTTAACTTGGCAAAGCGTCAGTCCGTGAGTTTAAAGTCGATAGAAAAAAAACTTGCAGATAATGTAAATTGTTCTTATATTTATTTTACTTTTTTCTCAATTTGGAAACTGAAATGTCAAGGATTGTTCGCCATTATTGCGATTAATATAATAATAATAATATTGTGAGAAAAAATTCTTCTCTGCGCGCAAGTCGGGTAAAATAAAATTGAAACAAAATTACAAAACTGAATCTTCGGACAATTCCCCATTGTTGACAAGACATAATTATCGAATTTCACAATTAGCATTATTCAGCTGTGACTGCCGAAGTTAAAGTTAAGGTAAAGGGCGATAAATTAACAATGATCTCACACAAAATAGCCCGCTCTTTATTTCTGTGTATACCAAATAGATTAAAATCTTATACATCTCCACAGAAACCGCTTTAAAATGAAATAGTTCTGGATTACTTAACGGATGTCACTTAGATTTAAAAAGAAGCTTTTATTAAAACATATAACTAAAGGTCAAATCGACGTATTTATTACCAATAATTTTAGGTGTTTATACAATCAAAAATGGAAAATGACTCGGCGAAATACAACAGATGATGTATGTGCCGTATGTGGCACTCACCACAAGGATGCTTGCATGTTATTTTTACTTTCCACGGTAAATTATTGGTTGCGATCCTGATAAGAAAACATTAACATTAAAAAAACGGAAATGGCTTCAAGATTTATTCAGCTCTCTGTGTTTCAGAACCCATTCGATTAGGTATTTATGAAAGTGAGAGATTCAGAAATCTTATCCGTGAATAAGTCATTGTTAAATTATATATAAGTTAGTCAGTGTCATTAGCATACTCATCAAAAACGCGATGACGTTTTGCAAGCATCGAACTATAGACCGTAAAAATACAATTAGGCGTTTGTTCAGTCAACCTATACTTTGATTCTGGTTATATATATATATCGAAAGCAAGTTTTGTCGATATGCCATAATTTGAAGTATTCTAGAAATTTGCGATATATATATGGCACTCATGACGTCGCTATTTGTTTTGACTCAAGGTCATGGACTTTTGGTTGTTTACATAAACATTTATATCGGGTAACCCGTTTTCCGCAGGTTTAACCAAACCGTAACACGATAAAAGACTGTTACATAAAAGCGACGACAACTTTACATTGATTTTACAGTATTTTCATTCTTGCATTTAACTTTATTACAAGGTTTCTGTCACCGAAATTCTTCATCTGAACTGAAATTCCGTCAAATATGGTTCATAACATATTGGCCCGTCTCCTATATCTCACATACGCTACTGTACCGGTAGCAGTTATTCAGCCGAATTTCATGTCAATTTCAAGTGCCCTCACCGTTAACAATAAACTAACTAGGCTACATAAATTTGCAATTGATTGGTACATATACAACACAACATTGACATATATATATACATATACAACATTAACACAACAATCCTTAGTTAGGTACATTTCGTGTCTAATATACACAACGACGCGTAAAATTGTCTTCGTCACATGTGAAGATAAGCGTCATTCCTGTGGCATTCCGTAAGGTTTATTGCGTGAATTCCCATGAGATTCTTTTTGGTTTAATTTTATATTTATGCAGATGTATGTGACATATTGCACAGTTTATCAATGTTATAAGTACTCAGTACAGAGACGAAGATTTTATCTATCCACCCTAAAGGTTAGATTTATATGCAAATAAAGTCTAACAAACTGTAAAATTTCATAGCATATAGGATACCCTGTTTCAATAATAGTGGTGACGGATAATAGTGGTTTTGTGCGTAATTTAATGATATAGTATTTCAGTGAAAACAAATACAAATCAATTCTGATATTTGTCGATAAAAATTTATAATGCACAATATGCGTCATAAAATAACTGGGCATAAATGTATACAATTGTTATGATTTTGTCGAATCAAATCTCAAATCTACCAACGGATTTCTTTGTTTCGCTCTTTATCACCTAAAACCTACGTCAACGAAACTTTGAAAATTTGTCTATTTTGGAAATACATTTGCAAACCAAACACTACAGTAAAATCGTGATCAAATCGGGAAATATATGGCGCATTTTTTGCACTGTGCCATTTCACACTCGTTAATCCTAATCGAGTTTTGACGAATAAATATTCGATAATATAAATCAAAGACTTTTCCGTGTTTTCACACATTCCATATATTTGGACACGCGACGGCGAGATAGATTGTTTTGCTAAATCGTTGTTTTTATTGTTTGTCTTGTTGCTATTGCGACTTTTTTGGTGCGGGAAATCGCTTTTCTCCTTAACTAAACTCTTGTTTAATAACCAAATATTCTATTAAATCTATAATTATTTTAATGTGCTAATATATTCCCATCTTGTCATTAAAAAATCCCATGGGGATTTAATTTCGAGACATATCACTTTTTTAATCTCTGCCTTGAAACGGAAATACCTAAATATAGTATCGATATGTTGCATAATTTGAATATATTCATTTCCCTGGTGGCCATAGCGGTTTAGCCAGTAAGAAGATTGGTTCGAATCCAAAGCCCATCAAAATATAGCGAAGCAAAATAAGCAGACTATCCGGCATACATGGCCGTAGCTTTAGACTTGTGAAAATGTTGGTAAAATCGTTCTAACTGACTTTTAATCCTACTTACTGTTAGAGTTTATTACAAAAATTATACTGGATTAGAAAAAAAGTTCGAATGGCGAAAAATACGAATACGGATTTAATCCGCACTATTTTTTAAATAAATCTGAGTTTTCACTGTAAACAAGAAAAATCCATATTTTATGGTAGTCCTTTACGGGCGATTAGGAGTATTCGGCGACATTCCTTAGCTGGCCGTTATTTTTTTAAACACAATTGCAATTGAAGCTCGAAAATCGCTGGAATTGTCGTTAATCTTCTTGGTAAGACTGCAAAATTGAATTGTCCCAAAACTTTTTTTTACCTGCAGTTCTTTTATAACGTTCTTATTTTTATCATTTATTTGTACAGGGGTTGCCAACCATTGTGAAGTTGAAAGTGACTGATGTAAACGACAACAGCCCCATATTTGTAAACGAAAGTTTATCCTCAAGAATAACTAAAGACATTCAGTACGGTATGCTCGAATATGTGTACAGTATAATAAAATCTTTTGTTTTCCGCTGTCTTTGGAAAGATATTGCCTAAGTCATTTTAAAATCGCTGTATATGTTGACTAGACGGATGATGTAGGTCTGAACTATGAATCATATCCAGTTCTTTCGCTGCCAAATGGCGGGAAACAAGACTAAACACTGAATTCTTGTTTGAAGATCAGGGTTTTCCAAGTATATTTGTCAAATTTTGTTGGCCACCTTATACTATTGCAGTTTAAATAACACGAAAAAGGCATACCATTGTCAGTTGTAGATATCTAAAAACAATCAAAACGCCAACCTTGTCATTTGAGTCGAAAAAGATCACAAATGGATCCCGTTTTCCGAAGGCTCGGTTATATTTTTTTTATAAAATGAGCTCTACCCGCGTATGTGTATGTTTTGTCATACTTGGTTGAAACTTACAATTGGAGGAAGTTGAAATGATTCGTTTTTTGTTTGTATGGGGCTTGGTATATGATGAGAAAACGAATGTCATGAATGGAATAAGATGGGACTAAAAAACACTATAAACACTCCCTAATAATTCCGCAAAATATATAAAGTACAATTGATCCAGGAATGTTTTATTGTCAATATATACATTTACGTAGCTCGAACAAGACTATATTTTGACGTACGCAGCGCTTGACAGGCAATTGTATTGTCAATGTATCCATTCATGGTTCTTATTCAGGTCAAGTTGTTGCAGAAATCAAAGCAACTGATGCTGATATAGGAAAGAATGCGGATCTTCGATATGATATTCAAAGCTACAGTGAACGACGTGGCAACGAAAAAGGTATTTTTAATCTGCTCGAACGTCTTAGTTTGAAGAAATGATCAGCACGAACGTAAAATCCGTTTAGTGATGTGACAACTTTTCTACATTCATTGAAGCATTTATTCAAAAATGGATATAATATATATTTATGTTGCATTATATATGCATGCATTTCATACTAATTTAACTTTTGGAACTAATTTATTTCAGTTTTTTTATTCGGACTAACTTCCAATTTCCAGTCTCGATCCCAGCCCAGAGGTGGCAACACAATACCGTCGTTCTTTACCGCTTCTGGTATTGCGTTTTCGATTTTTCTATGTTCATGAAATACGTCGTTTAGCCCTGGGCTCGTAAAAAACCCGATTTTTGAAAGGAATGAAATGAATCACATTTATCATTCAATTTTGATTCGAGAAAATAAAAGGAATCGAAACACCGAATGTGGGTGGCTAATTTTGTTCAATATAACGTCAAACCTACGTGGGAGTCGTTAATGGTATTTTTTAATCAGTATAGAATAACGTAATATATTTACGAATATAGATTTTTTTAAAGTGGATCTTCAGTCCAGACAAACAATTGTCATTTATACAGGCTTTTCGGAAAAGAAGTTTATTTATTCTTTTATCGATTCTTGACTCCCTTTAGACACCGATACCCTTTATTTGGATTAATATTCCATATCGCGTGCCCGGGCCCACACAAACAATATTAGAATATAGAACGTACGCGCTTCATTCATCATGCCTTCCATCTCATACTGGCGATCCAGTATGGGCAATTTGGCATTACTGAATTTTAACAATAATCAGTTTGGCGATATAATTCGATAAAAAAAAATTTTCTTCACTGTTCACTTCTTCGTTATTCAATTCGGCAATCTATACAAATTATGGATATGGTATGCCAATAATTTTTCTCTGGTCCGTTTCATTTACCAAGTAATTTTATAACTTTTATTTTATATATCTCGTTGGTTGTGCGTGTGTATATGAATGTGTACGCATTCATATTATATTGTTAGGTGTGTGAAACGCATTATCTACTTTGAAAATACCTTTTATGTAAATTTTGTACATTTTAAACCTAAGTAAGGTTTAATTTGCTTTTCTGTTTAATTTGTTTATTTTTTATCAAATGTTTTATGATGGTTTTAGAGCCAACTTAAATTTACACTTATATTCAGCAAGTCCAGATTTTCCAACATTCCTGAATCCATGGGACATCTGGTTTAGTCATTTTATTTGGTTCACTGGACGACCTGAAACCACCTACACAAATTACCTTCAGCGTTGTCGTCAAAGATAGAGGAGATGAACTTGTGGGTAGGTTTAATCACGAAAAAATTTGCATAATCAATCGAACACTGAAAATAAAGTCTACATAACTGCTGATATTCAGATTGAATGCGATATACTCTTATATGATGGGGTGTGGCGCTTCAAAACGCGATTCTTATCTTTGTAAAACGCTATTTTGTGGCATCCAAATCTGACGAACACAATGCCCTGTGTCCATTTTATTTTATCCTCGAAACATGATATCGACGACAGCACCGTATTATACCCAGAGGACATCGTTATTCGTCGGGATATGCGACCATTTTAATACTGTAGGATTATGTGATTTTTGCTAAGTATGTTTCGAAAATTGGTTGGAATCTGTTTTGGTTTTCTTCTTGATACTTTTTTACACCAATCGATAGAGAAACGCGCCTTCTTATTTGTTTCGGCTGATGATGTATTAAGTATATCGATTAGCAACCTAGACTCATTTTGGGTTTACTGTGAAGCAAAGTCAGTAAATTAACCAAAATTTCGAATAACAACTATTGTTTTTGACTGCAAATCTACAAAACAACAGACGTAGTTTAAGTAGCAATACGTGTGGGGATTTTAATGTTATTTCCATCTGTTTGATGTTTAGTGATCAACTTCGACTCATTGTGGGTTTACTGTGAAGCAAAGTCAGTAAACTAACCAAAATTTTGAATAAAAACCAGAGTTGTTGACTGCAAATCTACAAGATAACAGTCGAAGTTTAATTAAAAATACGGGTGGGGACTGTTTAGTAATTGTGCCAAAATTGTGTCAAATAATCCAATTAAATCAGTTCAACTATTGGTTACAATAATGTGGTATATATATATTTTCTTCGCTGGATGTATTTACTCAATATTTAGGTAACCGAGCGACAGCTTCTGCTACAGTTTCTATCATCGATGACTCGTGGAAGCCTGATCCGATTGAACCATCCCAAGGTAAATTTTTTTTATAATATAAAAACCTGTATGTAGGCGGTTGGTATGGTTAATTAATGATGAACGGACAGCTGGTGACTCTGTCATTGACCATCGATGAGTGTGTTTAAATTTGATTAGCTTGTTTTAAAGTTATATTTGCAATTGGCTCGTAATCGTGCAGGAGTCATGGGTTAGCCATGTGATTGAGTTCCTGTCGACTATCCCATCTCTTGCGATAAATATCGAGTCCCTATTACCTTACAGTGTATAACTTAACAGAACTGGTCCGTTGCTTCATCATCACATAAAGGACTAGGAAAAAGATATTGTGATTCCATTGGCGCCAAGTAGGAGGATTCAAGCAATTTTTTCACTCCAATAGGTGAATGCGATAAAACATTCCAAAAGCGATTTCATCGGTTTTTTGTATTCGATACGAGGCGTTACAAAATTGTACTCTAACTTGTAGTTACAATATACGACTATTGGCTACTGTGACCGCAAACCAATCTTTGTATACAAAGCATTTTTCTTTCGAATGCGTAACGTTAACGGTATTCTCTTTCACAACGTCATTTTATTATGGTTTTAGTTTCTGGTGGCGTAATAGCCGGTTGCGTTATGGGAGGAGTTGTATTCTTGGGAATATGTATCTTTCTTGTTGTTCATTGTGCAAGGAAACGATTCATTCGCCAAAACAACGGACAACTGGAATTCATGTTAGACGATGGTAAGTAAATATTTACGTATGGTAATTTAGCGAGGATTTGGTTCCAATTTTACAAACACAGTTTGTCTGAACTAGCCAATGATTACAAAACAGCTTCATCTATCTGTATCATGCGATAAAAATGGTTAAGTTATGGGTTATGATCTAATATACAACTACGACACATTGTATATGGATGTTATACATACAGAACGACCCAAAAAACAGATCCCAAGAACTTCTCAATTATTTTTACGAAAATGAAGAAATTCATTTTACACTCTGACACTGATATGGGCAAACTACGAGTTTAAGGAATTTGTTGAGATTGCCATCAAATTTAGATTTGACACGAGGCTTATTGTTTTCCACTTTTGCTTTTATAACACTGTAAATATTGCTCGTGAAATGAATTTTTACATAACACTTACATAGCCCGCCAGTCTAGGTGAGCAAAATGCTCCCCTGATACAAACACCTTGCCCACCCTGTCTAACACTTTAATTCTAACCTAAAGTTTCTGTGATCTAGAAGGCTTTGAGCAAGACTTATGCTTTTTCTAGAATATGTTCCAAATGACCTGCTTAGTTTTGTTTTTGGGCCACCCTGTATCTTTTACAACTGATATTTGCAAAGAGCGACTTGAACCAAATCATGTGCTTCGAAATTAAACTTGAACAGATGGTGCACGTCACAATTCAAAGCAACTATCTACACACTGAGCGTAGGCGAACGCAACTGAACGATGCACACGTCGTGATTGGTCTCTATTCGGCCGTTGCTAATGATCTAATGCTTCCGTAAACAGTTTTTAATTAGGCATTAAACTGAATGTCTCATACGCGGAAGGTGACAAATTAAGACTGGTTGTGAATATTTCATTATTGCAATTGGCAACGGCAATATAATACTATAATACTATGTTATTACTTGTGGTTTTTGTATTGGCAAACAATGCATTACACTGCTAAAACCTATACCTAAATATTAATTTTAGAAAATCTGATTTCCGCATAATGGATAGAAGATGGCGAATTCACTCAACAAAAGAATATTGAATTTGTCATTTGAATTCTAAATACGGCAGAAATGGATGAAGAAACAGACTGAAAGACCGAATCAATTTGAATGCTTTGGATCCAAATCCTAGATGTGTAAAAATAGGTCCAACTCACACTAAAACTACCAGCGAAGCAGTAGCTAAAAAGCGTTGCATGCTGCCTTCCTTGAATTTCCGAGCATGTGATATGCACTACGAGTTACAATTCCATTAAAATTGCTCATCTCCTATTATGCGATCGTTAAACGTGTAATTACGCCTGGACATTTTACAGCTTTTTTCAGTAACTTTATACTCGAGACTAGGTCCAGACCAAAAAATCTGGCGTTTCATTGGTTAATCGGTCTCTTGATATCCGATATGAGGTCACCGGAAAATTTTGTTTCCAATTACCCTGAAATAGTTTACACATGCACAAACCCTTCTGAAGACTCCCGACTTGGCAACTTATTTTTGACGCTTTCTCTGCTTCCTTTTAAATCAACACTTTTATTACTGTTCTCGAATTCTCTTTATGTATGCAGTAGTTTTATTTGTTGTCCTTATTTTTTTGTCGAATAATTGCGGATCATTATCCTATACTTTTCTATATATATACATAGGCTGCTGCATCATTTATAATCCTCGATCGATGGAATTATTATTATTACTGTGATTTCGCTACCTTTAGAATGATAAAGGTTGTGGAGGCCAGGTATTTGAACTATACTTCTTGAGGGAGTCTGATATCGATTACTGACAAGTGAATTGAATGATGTTTAAAATGGAATGTTATCGGCTTTATGTTCTACTTAACATATAGGACCATTGAAAATTCTAAATGACATTGAATATGGGTCTTATGATTCAGGGATCGGGCAACAGCCTTGACCCGTTGATTTCTGAAACAAACATGCTGGTTATTGGTTTGCTAGCTATGCGTTTTCTGCTTTCCTGTTTTGTCTTCAACAGTTTTATATTTTAGATTAATTATTGAGATTATTTGTAAAACCTCGTTGGAGAAAGATGGGTGAAAGGTAATTTATTGTTTTTAATACTATTCTATGCATTTTGTCTTCGTTTTACTCGCTTATTGAAATATATATATTTTAGATTTGCACTCGAATTTTAAAGAAGCATATCTTTGACTGTTAATACAATTTGGAATAAGAATGTTTCTGAATTTTTTTCTTTTTTACAGTTTGTATTTACTAATGGGAGGTTTCTGAGTTTGATCGGTCGGCATGTCGGCATAAAATGTAGGCTTCATTGAGACAGTAATGGAAACTGCACGAGATGGACAATATCAGGAAAAAATTAACTGGTGTTTGTCGGGTATAATTCAAATAGGACGGAGTGGTTTGGTTATTATAAGAATATTTTCAGGAACGTCGTCATCAACAGTAATAGAATGATATTTTTTAACTACCGTTATTCTTCAAGTCAAGATTGAAACTTGATCGGAAAACTCATTTCACAGTGGTTTAGACCTGACATAATTATATATATATGGCTTCTCCTCTTGGCAATAAGGTTGTGCTCCTAAAATGCGTTGCAGAAAGAAGAGGTACGTATTCAGTCGTGTAAAAATGTTAAAAATTATTTCGAACCCATACGCATTAACTCCATGGGAACGAATTGGGGTTTCAATAGAGTATATATATACAGTGGTGGCGCGTGGTCATTTTGACAACCGGTGCAAGCTACTGCGGGACCAAGTCACCCCCATCTACGGGGACAGGATGAGCGCTGTAAGTTCTCCCATCATTTTATGAGTATAAATACCATTCCATCGGTAACAACCAATCGGCAAAAGCGACAATTTTTTAACGATAAGAAAGTGTCTTCAAAACCGGTCCAAGTCAAGGGATTAATAAATATAGACATAGTTTATTTTGAAACCTCTTTCAAAAGGAAAGGCAATATTTACCCAGATAAATACAATGACATATTAACAGAAACTTCGGGAAAGCAGACAAAACCTAAAATAAGGTTTAAAACGTTACTATGATAAAAGGAAAGCTAATGCAAAGATAAGGACATGCGTCGCCCACTCATAGATATATATGCTGCTAGACTTCTACTGCTTGAACATATATGCAACACGCCGCGGTTTCTTGGAAGCAAAATGCTCAATAACGCGCTGATTAAAGTCATGCATCCCAGAAATAACGTCTCTGTGAATGGATAAAACAGCCAAGGAATTTAATCTATCTTGCTTCATTGTGTTTCTGAGATACGTTTTAATACGCTTCAGCGTGTTGAATTTTCGCTCTGCGTCGGCGGAAGAAATAGGCGTCGTCAAAATGATGTCCAGAAATTTTGCAGACGCCGCAAAGGTGTGTTATCTATGAGAAACCCATAGAGCGCGCAAGTTGATGTGATGTTCAAAAAAGTTTGATTGGTGTATATACATCGCCATTCATTTTTCAATTTACCCACGTTTATCATGGGGTAAAATTTGGAGACGGTAGCCAACAAATGAATGGGAAATTGACGTGCAAATTTTGAAAAAGGTGTTCAGTGCGCAGACGATCGCCTATTTGATTCACCAGAATGTCACAGCATTCCTTTGCAGACAAAATCAAACGCTGCGTTGTTTGCCTGCGGCATAAAGAAGCCCTCAATGTGTCGTCGTATTTTATTGTTTCCCGGATACGAGATACAGCATCGCAGAAGTCTGAAATATACGGCTGCACAGACGCTCCATCCATTAGCCTTGACTGCAATGCGCCGTATAATACATCCACGTGATAGAATATTGTGGAGAAAAAAGCGAGAAAAAATGAAAACTCACCATCTTCTAGCAGACGCTTTAGACCTGCCGCCTCCCTCACAGAGCGTTCGTCCCAAACCGGAGAGCTCTGAATGCCATTGAAACACTCAATGAGCTCAGACCTAATTTCGGACACGCCCTGCACCACGCGTGATTGGAAGTTCCAACGTGTTGGTGCACAAGCTGGGAGACGGCGGCTACATATCTGGCGAAGGAGGTCAGAGCGCTTCGGCGGAACGGAAAAAAATGAAGAAAACCCCGAAACATTTGCAAAAAATATACGGACGAGAGGGGTATCAAGACACATATTTTTAATAACGAGGTTAAATTGGTGTGCATAACAATGTAAAAAATGCGCATGCGGAAAATCTTCTTTTATATAAACTTGAACACCATGTTTCGACCCACTCATGACTGCCGCGCCGTCATAAGTTTGAGCTATCAATTTTGACTTCGCGTTGTAAGGCTGTAACACTTCTTTCAGTACAGCCGATATCCCGCAAGCCGTGCGATCAACGATTGGTACAAAGCTGTGAAATCTCTCGGTAGGTTTACCATCTTTCACAAACCGAAAAATCACAGCCAGTTGGGAAACGCACGTGATGTCAGTTGTCTCGTCAGACTGAATCGAAAGGAACTGGCAATTCTCAATTTCCAGAGCCAAATGTTGTAAATAAATTTTATACATTGAGTCGAGCAAATCATTTTGGATATCCTTAGATGTCCCTTTCGAAACAGTTGCGGCATCAAGATGATCTCTCAATACTGTATCTAGGGATGCGGTGTATTCCACCATATCCAAAAATACCCCTCTATTAGAAGAGCCAGCCCGTTCATCGTGCCCACGGAGGGACAGCTCGTGACAACCAATGAACTTCAAAACATCTATCAATCGACCGAGAACATGGCGGTTTTTCTCGACGTTTTGGTTGTGCCGACGAATAGAAACCGCGCGTCCTTCATCCAACTGTGCTGCAATATTAACATTTCCGAATGTTCGGTATTTTACTGCATTGTCCAGATGCTCCATAGAAGATTGATGATCCCTGGCACGCTCGGAAAGATGTTTAAGATCTCTAAAACCAAATTTACACCAACGTGAGTCACGGGCGGTGGCAAAAAGTAGGCAATAAAAAAAAGTGCATTTTTGTCCTCGCTGTAACACAACCATTCGTGTTTTTTATACCAAGTTTCTGCGCAGAATGTACGCCGACGCTTTCCTCCGTCATGGGATTGTTCCAGTGAACAATTTTTTGGTTGATAAGGCCCAAGACGTTGTACCTCTAATTTTTGTTCCAGCGGCAGCTGCGAAAACGGAGTGCGAAGTAGTGCATCAACCTTATTCATTATGAGGTCTAAGGCTAAGAAATGCGAAGCCGGAAAGAAGTGAGGAGCTCAAAAGGAATGTGGAAAATCGAAAGCAAATGGACTAAAGGTCTCTAACTGATTCAAATAGCGAAACAAGCGACAAAAACGAAGGCGAGGAAACTATCAACTCTTCAAGCAACCAACGAACGAGAAGGAATGCGTGAATATGTCAACACGTTGTTGTAAGAAACGTCGGCATTGTGTCGTCATAATTTCGGAGCTAGCCCCGATCAAAGTGACTATAAACCAAGTGGTGACACCGAGTGCAATGATTCATATCGGACGCCATTTTGTGTCCAGCGAATCGGGGAACGCGGCAGGGTCGGTTTGTTTTAGCTTCGTCAGAAGGTCTCGTTCGTCAATTTGGTTGAAGATATTTTACTGTTTTGCATTTTATTCGGGTAATTTCATTATTTTTCTTTTGCTATTTGCCTCGTGGAATCATACTGGTATCGTGCGGTTTCGTGAAAGTTGCGATAGTTATCTTATCATCCCGTGTGAGTTAAGCAACTTTGAAACCTCATATCTCACGAACCTTATATTATATGCAGATAGTTTTCATATTGTTTGAAAGGCAATCTAGGAGACTAATTATAATTATGAGATGGAGATAAAATGTCGCGATTATCATACAAAAATCGGTAAAATTGAAAAGCGTGGAATTTTTTTGAAGAGCTTTTGAAGTAAATAACAAAAACTTCGATTTGTTCTTGTTTTAACCTAATATGACATCGACACATTTGCCGAGGTTAAGGATAGCTTTCGACATTAGATAGAATTTATCGTGCATCAGTAAAATTGTATAAGTTATTTCATTCAATGTTCTCCAATTCTTGACATGTCCACTGCGCCAACTTGAGTTAAACAACAACGTTCCCTAATTACTTCGTTACGTAATTACGTCGCAACGTTCCGTATAAAAAACACATATCGCCATTAACCATTATGAAACGTCATTAACCTAATGCATACGATTAAATCAGGTACTATTTGAACAGGTATTATGATACCTGTTCACACCATGCCGAAAGTTTAAAGCCTGGGTTTTACATTAATCATTCCAGAAACTGATGAAATGAATTTTAATTTAACGAACTGTTGCAACAGTTGCTCCACAAATTATACAATGTAAACGATCCCATGGCTAGCACATTGTGCGGCCTAATGAATTACATCGAAGTATGTACATTATAAGGTACAAAATTCAAAAACCAGCCGCCGCGACTGGTTTTGCAGCTCTTATCAACTTATTATTGGCAGGATATTTCGATTCTTCTGCGTCGGTAAATGTAATATATTTACTAGGTGATTTAGCGACGACATCAAATTGTTTGTTTGTTTCTATGGAAAATGTCAATCCCGACGAATGCCCACAATCGTTACTAACTAACTCATTTTAGGTCTTACACACACGATAAATATTTGAAAATTGATAGTTTTACCCAATATTTTTAATATTACTTTGGCACTGTACACCTTGTTGAAAATTTGCGATACGCATATTTTAATATCATGACATGTGCCGCAAAAAATAGTGCAAGTTAATAAGTATAAGTATAAGTTTATTTCGACTCCATAATCAGCAAAACAATAAAATGAATGCTAAAAATAAATAAATAAAAACTGATTATGAAATCAGGAGAGCGAACAAAACCTTAGATAAGGTTTAAAACGTACAGAATGTATATAAGATGGAAGGTTTTGCCAAGAAGATGTGGTACGTGTTCACTCACCTAAAATAATTGAAATATTTCACACACGCTCACACGCACCCACACACACAACCATATAGAAGTTATTAAGTAAAGGGAACATGAAAAATTACATACTGGTAGTTAATAAAAAATAAATAAATAAAAATTACTTGCCACACCATATTAATAAATTTATCATGATTGCCACTGCCAAGTTTCTGTAGTATATTTTGTATTGGAGTTCTGTCAGATTGTTAAAATAGCTTCTGTGCATCAGCAATTTAATAATAAAATGTGTATCTTTTTGTTTTATATTTTGGTCTTATTGGGTGTTGAT